GAAGTTTCCTCAGAAGGCTGGAAATAGAAATAGAAACACTCCCAGTGACCCTGTATAGGGTTTCCGAGGAATAGCTTGTGAGCTTGAACCGCCGACCTTGAGGTTCAAATGACTGTGCAGTCCAGAGCATTAACCCCCAGTGCCATACCACGCCGCCAGATATTTCAGACGACTACCCCACCCAAATCATCTCTCCATAAAGTTGCATGCATGATTTTTCAGATAAAAAGAACAGGCCCACAGATGCACGTGTGTAACGCTAATTAACAGAGAAAGTAAATTTGACAGCCAGAGTGTGAACCGGCATCTGCTAGCTCAGACAATACAGCTTGAGGAACTAGACATCACCACCTACCCTAGAAGTACAGATGACAAAAGGTCCCAGTAAATACTATGGTCACAGGCAAACACGCTACACAGGAAAGCCAAGATCTGAGCTAAGTCAATCCAAAGCTGTTGCTATCAAGTCAATTCCAGCTCACAGTGACCCCATGTGATAGAGCAGAACTGCCTATAGGGCTTTGGAGTCTATAATCTTCGCAGAAGCAGATTGTCAGGACTCTTCTCTAGCAGAGCCTCTTGGTGAGTTTGAACTGCCAACCTTTCGGCTAAAGATTAAATATTGTACCACCAGGGCTCCTTATGTTAATAATAGTATTAACCAGCACCTCTCTTATGGATATGCCACACGTTCCAACACACAGCAATGAGATCACTCCCCACACATGTTCCATTAGACGGCAATGCGGTCACTCCCCACACGTTTCATTAGATGGCAATGCGGTCGCTCCCCACACATGTTCCATTAGACGGCAGTGAGATCACTCCCCACACATGTTCCATTAGACAGCAGTGCGATTACTCCCATGTTGAATTGGATAGCTATGAGATCATGGTGGTGTTCTGCGTAAGCTGTTCTGTAAATGAAGGTGTGTATGTGTGTGTGGGGTCTCTCCCACACAGTATGTGCACTTAGAGGGAGAAAGGGCATGTGGAAACTGTGGTGTACAAGGGTCAAATGCACATGGTTGTAGGTAACAATGCAGTTCATCCCAATCAGAATGAGAGCAAGCATGATGTTGAGGGGTGTTGGCCTGCTGTCTAGTGTCTGTAAAATGGGTTTAAAGAAAAGATCGCTCCACACACTGCTGAGTAACAGTCTCTGATGAACCAACCCTTACACACTTTCCTGAAGTTTAGACTAACATAACTGAGAAATAGCTGACAGGTCTGAACAGAAAGAAAGTGTCTGAGACAGCCCCCCTGCAATTCTTGGGGCCCCTGATGCAACAGAGGAGTAGTCAATGTTTCCCTGCCTTCTGGAGGTCTCCCCAAGCACGTGACCTGGGAGTGGAACCTGGATATATTGTGGAGGCCACATTCTGAGCTGTAAGATCTGAGAACTGAGGATGGATCAGATGGGATCAAGTACAGCAGGTGAAACCAAGTGAGCAAGAGGACTCCTTTGAAGTAACCCTCCACATCCAGCTCAAACTAAGGCAACAAGAGTTCACAGGAACAGATGAAGAGTGTGTAAGGCCTAATAAACCCTTGCCTTTACCTCTGCTTGAGCTGTGGAGCACCACTGGGATTGAATGTTACATGTCTGAAGAACAGAGCGCTAAGTCGAAGGACAGGAAAGTTTCCTTTGAGAGCTGACAGGAAAGAAACTTTTCCTTACAACAGCTCTCTCCCATTTGAGGAATTTCCCAAAGACCTGTACTTAATGGATCAGCTTCCTCTCTGTCCATGTAAGTGCTTACTTATGTTTACATAACCTTTGATACCTTCCCGCCCACCGGGGTGTTTTGTTGCAGCGATTTTCATTTCCACAGGCCAGGGCTCATTCCCTTTCTCCAAAACGGAGATAACTAACATTCAGTCAGAACATAGATGCTTGATTCTAAGAAACTCGGAACATGATGTGCTACGTTTCTTTCCAGATAGAATCCAAGCTCTTTGTTCAGCTGAATAGAGGATACTACAGATGGTTCTAGAAAACTAGTTCACAAATAGGCCCAGACTGCCTCCTTCTAAAAACCGATGGAGACACTGAACTCTTGTCCAAGACCTATTAAATATAAAGCACGGGTAAAACCAGGAAATTGGACATAGGCATCCCTTGTTGGATTGTACTTCACAGATACTGGTTTCTTTTATTTTTTTTTTAAAAAAACAAATTGAAGGTTTGTGGCAACCCTGTGTAGCGCGATTCTACTAGTCTAGTGACATCATTTTTCCAACAGCATGTGCTTGCTTCATGTCTCTATGTCACATTTTGGTAATTCTCCCAATATTTCAAACTGCCATAAAGCTATTGTATAATTAAGAGATGGCAGTGTAGTGTAAACACAACTTTTATGTGCACTCAAAACCAATAGCTCATGACTCGCTTTACTGAGATATCAGTTTTTTAATTTCTTGTTGTCTGGAGTTGAATCTGCAATCTCTCTGAGCTATATGCCTGTCTTTCAAAAATCTGCTTTAAGACTTTGTGGGCACTGACACAGCATAAAGAGGGGGGATCACCTGAAGTAAGGGGACGGCGAAGGCCACACGCTACATTATAGAGCTTTCATTTTGGAATCAACTTCAGTCTCTCCATTAGGAACAGGGATCTGAAACTCAAGCAAGGCAGATGCTTCCAAGTGAATCCCAAAGGAAAGTGCAAAGAAACACAAGGGCACACCCACAGTATCTGAAGAAAGCGATGCTCACCGAGGGAGACCAGGTTCCTGTAGTTCTCCAACATCACGTCCCGGTACAGAGCTTTCTGCGGAAGGTTTAGGCAGTCCCACTCCTCCTGAGAGAATTCAATGATCACATCCCTCAGTGTTAGCAGTCCCTGTAATGAAAAACACCTCACCAAGTGGATATGGAGGACATTTCATTTTCCATACAAAATGTGAGGACAGATCTAAAAGGAACAATTGGATTTCTGTGAATGTTGACAGATGTATGTGTAAAAATGCTAAGCAAATTATATGCCCTCAATTTTATTTCATTATACTTTTTACGAGGATATAAAATCCATTAAATTACTGTGTACTTTGTGTTGACATAAAAGAAATATACAAATAAAAAAACTCATAAGAGTGACATATATAAAGGTTGAATTTCTCAGATCAGCTAGAGCAGGATTAGTGTCTGTAGGGATGATAGAGTCCGCTGAAGCTTGAAAGTAGCCTTATTTATTGTCAACACCTTTAGTGTAGCTTGGATTTTTTTCCTTCAGTACTGTTGGTTTTGAAGAGGACTGGCATTGCATTCATTGTCTAAAAGAGCATTTTAAGATCGATCTTGAAATACAGCACTGTCTGTGGCAGTATGATATTCATGTGTCTATAGGAAGAGCAGTCAATACCACTATTATTTGAACTTATGCACCAACCTCTAAAGTAAGTGAAAATGAAAATGAAGAATTCTAACACGGTCAGAGGTTCACAACCACCAGCTGCTCTTTGGAAACCCTGTTTGCTATGAACAAGAACCGACTCAATGACACTTAATATCATTAGCTAAAATGGGGTCAGGGGCTGACTGTGGACAGACCATCAATTGCTCATATGTAATCTCAGGCTGAAGGTGAAGAAAATGAAAACAAGTTCATGAGAGCCCAAATATGACACTGAATATATCCCACCTAAACTTAGAGATCACCTCAAGAAAAGATTTGATAAATACATTAGACTCTAATAACTGAAGACCAAAAGACTTATGGGATGAGATCAAGAACATCATAGAAGAAGAAAGCAAAAGATTAAGAAGATAGCAAAGAAAGACAAGACCAAAATGGCTGACAGAAGAGACTGTGAAACTTGCTCTTGAGAGTATAGAAGCTAAAGTGAATGGAAGAAATGAGGAGGTAGAAGAGCTGAGCAGAAAATTTCAAAGGGCAGCTTGAGAAGACAAAGTCAAAGAAAATATTATAATGAAATGTGCAAAGACCTGGAGTTAGAAAAGCAAAAGGGAAGAACACCCTCAGCATCTCTTAAACTGAAAGAACTTAAGAAAAAATACAAGCCTCAACTTTACATATTGGATTCTACGGGTAAAATGAGTCCTGGTGTGGTACTGTGAGTTCATGTGCTGGACTGCAAGGGTAGTTTGAATCATAAGGTCGGCAGTTCAAGCTCAACAAGTTGTTCCTCGGAAACCCTTCAAGGCAAACAAGATGAAGATGATGATGAGTAAAATACTGACTGATGCAGGAAATACCAAAAGAAGATGGAAGAAATACACAGACTCACTCTACCAAAAAGGGGATATATATGTATGTACACATATATTTGAGCTCTGGTAGCATAGTGGTTACGAATCAGGCTGTGAACCACAAGGTCAGCAGTTCGAAACAACCAGCTTTTCGGCAGGAGAAAGATGAAGCTTTCTGCTCCCGTAAAGATTTATAGCCTCGGAAAGCCTGTACAGGGTCGCTATGAGTCGGAACCGACTCCATGGCACACAACAACAACAACACATATATTTATACACACATTTCCCCAACTGTTAAAAGTGCAAAACTTTTATAAAAACCGTGGGCTTGTAAATATTTACATGTGTATATACACATATACAAGAGTAGTTAGTTGTCTCTGACTGGTATATATTTTGGATATATTTTCATTTATCTTTTATTTTTGCTCAGATACATTTCAGCTTTTTTGATATACTGAAAATATACAAAGTATAGCATTCAAATTACTTTGTCATCACTGTTATACCTTAAGATATGTTAAGAAAAACTACAGAAAAATAAATATATCAAAAACCTTAACCAAAATCTCCATTAAATGAATATATGTAAAAATGTGTTTTTTCCATTTAAATTTAGATATATAGCCACTTAGTAAAGACAAGTGTGACTGAATCCATGAAAAAAACAGATTCAAGATCAGATAAAGCATTAATATATGCGTTCATTTAACAGATCAAAATAGTGTCAGGTAGGCTATGTGAGAGTTGGAGGAGATTAAGAAGTTCTGAGGATGCCATTTCAGAGAGGAGAGGACAGAGCCACCAACTGAAATTACGACAGTTACCTTGGAAAGAGTCATTCCGGAGGTCTCTTTCCTTCCTCCTCCTCGGGGTTTCATTCTCAGGTGAGATTAGTCTGGAGAAGCCAATCTGTATGTTGAAAATCCACTGTTAAATGCTTAGAAACACCACACCATTTCTTGTGCCAAAGCCACACACACAGGGAGGACCTCATCATGGGGAAAGATGGTTCTTGCTCAACACCACCCCCAGAAGTGACTCAGGGACCAGAGTCTTCTTCACGGACACCAACAACTGAGTTTACTATCCTAAACTCAACTGCAGTTGAGGGATCAAGGTTGGACTGACCCTCCTCTTTAGATCACAGGTCAGGCCCTGATACCACACCAGGCAGCCTTCAGCTCCTTTTTATCTGCTACTGGTGTGTCACTGTGGGATAAGCACTTGACCACAAGGTCGGCGGAAACCCTATACAGGGTCACTATAGGTTGAAACCGACTCGATGGCACTTAACGATATGTAGAAAGCTAAGTCAGAAAGTTCTTATCCCATTTCTTCCCTTCCCTCAAGTACCTTAGGAAAAGGGCAGACGGTGTCCCCAAATTGACTGTGACTAGTTAGTGCCCTTTGGCTAAATAGGGATTGTGATGGCAGTCATCTTCTGAGGCTGGCAATTGTGTGTTCTGCAATTCTCATTCTCATCTGTACACGTCCAGCAAATTCTCAACTGATTAGAACTGAAAAGTCATAAATCAACACATCAGAGCTTAATCAATGATCCACAGCTCATCTCAATAACTGCCCACTCCTGTGGGTCTCTTCTAGATCTTTCTCTTTTCCCGTTCTTTCTCTCCTTTCTTGCCCTTCTCGATAGCCCTCGTTCAGTTCCTCTTGTCACTGGTTTCACCTCTTGCTTGCCCTCAATCTGATTACCCCCATCTCCACTGATTTTCTGCTTGTCCTTCGTCCCCAACTGTCCACTCTCTGGCTCGCCAGCTCAATGAATTGCCCCCTTTTTTCTCCTTCTCATCTGTCACCTCCTTGAAGCCCTTTCTGTCCCAGGACTAAGTCACAGGATTCCAACTCTTTCATCTCCTCCCACCCAACCCCAGCATTACCCTCCAAGGTTCCCCAACCATATTTTGCTCCCCTTCACTTGGAGATGCCCCCTTTTCTCAACAGCTATTTTCATTCCCCCCTTTATTCTCTTGGTTAAGGAGTCCTGATCATGTAGTGGGCGAAGCGCTGAGGTCGGAGGTTCGAACACACCAGCCGTTCTATGTGGAAGCTGCGGAGGTCTGCTGCCATAAAGATGAGTCTCAGAAACTCTATGGGGCAATTCTACTCTGTCCGATAGAACAGAATCGGAATCGATTATAAGGACACAAAGTTATTCTCTTGGCTAATTCTTTCCCCGTCTCTTAGCAAGCCTTCTCCCTCCCTTCTCAGTGGTTATATTTTTCTCCGGGCAGCTCTGCGGCTTTTTCCCGATTCCCTTCGTCCACCCGGAAGAACGCACTTTGCAGTGGGACGGCGGATAGAGAAGGCGGGGTGGCCCCGGACCAGGCCAGGTCCCCTTTCCCACTCGGGGAAGGGTCTGAGAGTGAGAACCCGGGGGTTTAGGAGTAGGACACTAGCTCTTCAGCGGGGCGGGCGGGCGGAAATCCAGGAAGGGTTTTCAGTAGGAAAACGACAGAAAACCGAGGCGGGAATCTGCGTCACCGAAACGTTAACTAGAGCGCACTCCTACGCCCGGCCGGCGGGGGCGATTGGCCAGGTGTGGGAATTTTAACGTTGCAGCGACCCCCGGTCCCAGGCTGTGGAGGACAGGGACCGCGAAGCGAACGTTTTAAATCAGCAAGACGGAGTTTTAAATCAGAAAGACTAAAATTTACCTCAGAACGACCTTCACTCCGTCTAATACGTTTCCGCGATCTGCAATAAACTGCGCAGGCGCGCGGCGGACAAAAACACAGCGACGTGGGGGCTGGGCAGGTAGGGGCGGGGCCTGGGCATGGCGCGATTGTCCTGCGGCGGGTCTAGGATACCGACCAATCCTGAGAAAGGTACGTGAGTAGGCGGGGCGGATGTGGAGAAAGGGCGGGGCCTAAGCCTCCCGCCTCTCCCCGCCCCACCCAAGCCTTTCGACGTTTCCTGTTCTGTCTGCCTAGAAAGTACTTAATTTTGTGCTTTTGAATTCGTTTGTCTTAAGGGTTGTCCTGTTTTGTGCAGCAGGGCTGCCTCCCCCACTTTTTAAAGGAAATATTTAGCTTTGCCCCTTGCGGGTCCGGATCCCCATCGGCCCTGCACGTCACTGCCAGACCCCACCCTCTTCCCCCGGGCCCCACCTCTTGACCGCCTGGGCCCATCACGCATGCGCAGTTTCCTGCACGTCGGGAAACTGATCTAGGCAATTAAGGAGCGCACTCTGGTAGCGTTGTTGTTGTTGTTGTTGTTATTGTTAGGTGCTATCGAGTCGGTGCCAACTTATAGCGACCTTATGCATAGCAGAACAAAACACTGCCCGATCCTGGGCCAACCTCACTATTGTTGCCATGCTTAAGCCCATTGATGCTGCCATTTGGCCAATCCATCTCACTGGGGGTCTTCCTGTTTTTATTGGACCCTCCACCTTACCAAACACGGTATCTTTCTCCAGCGACTGATTCCTCCTGACAACATGTCCAAAGTATGAGAGACGAAGTTTGGCCATCTTGGCCTCCAAGAAGCACTCTGGCTGCACATCTTCCAACACAAATCTATTGGTTCTATGGGCAGCCCATGGCACTTTCAATATTCTCCTCCAACACCGTAACTCAAAGGCATCAATTCTTCTCCGGTCTTCCTTGTTGAGTGTCCAGCTTTCGCATGCATATGAGGTTATTGAAAATACCATGGCATGCGTCAGGCGCACCTTAGCCCTCAAGCTGACATCTTTGCTTTTAAACACTTTAAAAAGGTCTTGTGCAGATTTGCCTAATGCAATACGTTGTTTGATTTCCTAACTGCTGCTTCCGTGAGTGTTGATAGTTGAGCCAAGAAGAACGAAGTCCTTGACAACTTCAATCTTTTCTCCCTTGATAAGAATGTTGTTTATTGGTCCAGTGGTGAGATTTTTGTTTTTTTACATTGAGGTGCAATCCACACCTAAGGCTGTGATCTTTGATCTTCATCATTAAATATTTTAAGTCCTCTTCACTTTCAGCAAGCTAGGTGGTATCATTTGCATATCGTAGGTTGTTAGTCTTTCTCCAATCCTGATGCCACGGTTTTCTTCATATAGACCAGTTTCTCGGTTTATTTGTTCAGCATACAGGTTGAATAAGTATGGTGAAACAATACAACCTTGTCACACACCTTTCTTAATTTTAAACCATTCAGTGTTCCCATGTTCTGTTCAAACAACTACCTC